GACATCTAATAATAAAACTGAAATTCTGTTTTGCACAGTGGAAGAAAAATATATTGTAAATTACTAATTAACTCATCTGTTTCAAAGATTATAAAATTATAGTATTTGAAACATTTTAAATTCAAATTTGAAAACAACTTAATGTCTCTACTGTCTTTAATTAGAAAAAAAATTAAAATAATTTAATGAGTTAAATAATGCTTAATACCACTATGATTATGGTCCTGCTCATAATGATGTCACTGTGAATTCTACCACAGATTTCAATGAAGGTGGTTTATCCTTTTTCAGTAGCTGCCATTAATCTCTTTACAGTTTTGCATAATTCCTAATGAATATTACTGGGCATCCATAAAATAAAAAATATTATACACTGTATTTACTCAAATCTAAAACAACCCTGAATATAAGATGACACCATCAATAATTAGATTCTCTATATGGAAAATGTATAAATTTCTTATAATTTTCCAGGTACAGAATCTAATTATTGCAGGTTTGCCTTGAATTTGTCGTCCTCGTACTGCTAAAGCACAGAAAATAATCTAGGGCATCAGATAGCTCTTAATCTCTGCACCCACCCCCTAACTTCTTCCCCCCTGCTCTCTCTGAGCATATGGAAGTGAGGGGCAAATTTGAAAACACTGGGCATGTTTACTTATGCAATTAATGTGCAGCAATAAATCCCAGTACATATTGATCCAGAGTTTATTGCTCCTGGGCACTGTGTTTGAACATGCTCTCAGGAGCACACCATGTTGAGCCATGTCACAGCAGCCCCTGGTCCATGTGTAGATGCTCAGACATTTCCTGTGGAGCTAATCTCATGTAGATGTGCCCACTGACTTTGAAATAAACATACCTATAGTAACTTATATATAGGCAAATTATTACAGGTACCCATAGACTTTGTTAATCTAGAATTGATGCATTTCACCTTTTTTGAAACTGCTACAAGCTTTAGCACAGGTATTCCATAAACGCTTTTAAGCAACACTTTTGTATCTACTTGTATATAGTAAAAGCCTAAATCCAAAAGGTTCATGTTTTACCATAAAGTTCACTGGGCTGGGACCCAGCAGAATCAACAAGTTTTCAAGCCATAGCGACCCTACAGCTCAGCACTGCTTAGTACGTTTGTGAAATACAGAAACCCCTGACAAAGGATCCATGTGCTAATTAGCCCTACACTGATGACTGGAACCAGGTGTTTGTGTCAGGAGTCTTGGAAGCCTCCAAAAACTTATATGCACATGAGGCATAGAGCAGCCTCATCCAGCTTTACCTCATGGAGTACAGGGCCATGCTAATCATATGCACTAGACAGAGAAGGATTCTGGATGAACTACTTGGGACCCCATTTGGTGATGTTTGCCAGACAATAAGGGCTGGTAAAGAAACAGGGATCACTGCAATTGGGAAGAAAGGAGCAGCTCAGCTGTGGGAATGAAGAGGAAGTCAACATGTATTCAGTGTAGTGGCTCACCAAGACTTGAAGAAGAGTTGGTGCTAAGGCGGACTGCACATAATGGACAGTAGCATATATTAGCATGCAGTGTGTCTGAACCCCCACATCTCCCAGGAGCAGGGGAGACACCAAGATCCAAGGGTTATTGCTTCTCAGCCTCTTGTGGTTAAAATCAAGTGTAGTAGCTGGGCGAAATAGAGACAATGGGACTGAGAACTGCTGCCAGGGAGAGAGCCCTACCTATAAAAGAGGAGTGGGGCGGAAGAAAACAATAAAGTAAGTCAGCCTTATCAATTCTCACTGAGATCTGTGCCAGAAGCCAGCACTGAAATGAAGCTGCCTTCATTGGCCCAGGCCACTGACCCAAAAGTTAAAAGCCCAGGGTTCAGACAGGTTAGTGCCCCAGAGGGACGCCAGCATGAGCAGATGCTCGTGCTCGTCATGCAGAAGTGTAGTGATTTACTTGACTCCTAGTCAAGGAGTTGACTGAGTTTGATTGAGAGGAAAGCAGACAGAGAAGCTTGCTTCAAGCTACGAGCCAGCAAATGAACATTACAGGAGGGCAAAGAGAAGCCTGACTGGTGAGTGAATGCTTCTTGGTGTTGCCCTCAGGGAACAGAGAAGAGGGAACTTTAAAGAGACCAGATTATGGGAGTGCAGTTTCCCCAGCAAGACAACAATCTAGTGGCCAAGTCAAGGGACTGTGTGAGGCAGGCTCAGGCTCACCAACTGACATGCTGATAAGCTAATCACAAGCAGCTGGCTCAGACACTTAGCTGAATACCAGCTAATGCTTAGAGCCTTGTGAGTGAATTGAGAGGGAATATACCCTGGATGTCAGAGGGGGAAATAAGAACTGACCAACTATGGAGAAACCCATGATAGCTTAAGAAACATCCAACTAGTATGAGGACAGATGGTGACAGTCAGTGGGCATCATGAAAAGCTTATGGAAGTAGAGTGGATGATTTAAGCAGACACCGTATTAAAGTACCTTTGAACATCTGGTGTGGTAAGGGCAGGGTATAGGGGTTGGTGGGGAGCCCTGTGAAGAGACAGGAAGACATAATCTGGTTGCAGTGAGATTCATTAGGCACACCTCCCAATATTTACTTTCTCCTTTGGAATTTTATTTAACATGAAAGGCATGGCAGGAAAGTACAAAAGAGCACTATCAGATACTGGGGAATCTGGCTGCAGCTTATACCACACATTAGCCTCAAAAGCTTAAATGCACCTTTTACTGGGGCATCAAAAGGAAGAGGGTGGCAAGATGAGAAATATACAAGGGAAAACAAGTGGGAGGAAGAGGAATGCCAAACAGAGCTGTTTATTTATACAAAATTCATCAGAATGTAGATGGTGGGGATAAAGGGGGAAGAGAAAATGGAAGGCTTTTGTCAGTACTTAGCAGGAAAAGTCTCAAAGACATGGGAAAGAGGGAAGGAGGGATGGAAAATGCCTTGGGCTTGGACACCCCCTGCCCACTATTCAAGAGCAGATAAGTTTATAGTACAATATGCATTGTTAGAAGGAAGCCTGACGAAATGGGAAAATAGTAAAAGCCTTGAAAGGAATGTAAGGGACAGAGGCAAAATAACACAAGTGGGGAACCTGACCGAGAGTCACTCAGCCAACCAAAGTGTAGAAGGGGATGTGGGAAGCACAGGCAAAGAGGGAACATGTAGAAATCGCGTAGATGGCAGTGCAGAATGTGTTAACGGTAGGGTAGAGGTAATGAAGAAGGAGATTACACAGATCAGAAAAATGCCCAAGGGAAAACTGAAAACAAGGAGCCAGTTTGCCACTTGTTTTGGGAGGGCAGGTATGCAGAGAAGGTATGGAAGAGGGTGGGGAGGTCTGCAAGAGAACCCAATGGAGTAATGTACTGACATACAAGATGGCAATGCACAGACTGGACCAAAGAGAGAAAATGGGCCAGCACATGAGACTGTTGATAATGTGCAGGAGAGTGGCCATCTGGAAGCCGCGGACCCTGCTGGTGCACACCACGAGAAAGCGTGCATCTATCCATGCATCTCTATTGACAGAGATGAAGACAAGCTGGGAGCAATGAGCTCAACGAACAAGTGGAGATTAAAAGATTGGGGAACACTGTTCTGGGAAAATTCTGGGTGGGGGAGGGGAACCAGGGGGAATAACAGCATGGGTTGGGAAGAAACCGATAAAAGCATGACAAGTAAGGCCATTTGAAGAGATGTAAGTGGTAAGGGAAGCCTGTTAGGCACTTATATGAGAACCGGTATAGAAATGTTAATATGATGTGAAATAAAAGGCAATGTTGATTGTTTAAAATGGATAAATCAGAGGAGGGGAGATGTTTCTGGTAAGGCTGTATGAAAACAGGAGGCAAGTGATGCCAGAGGATAAGCAGCACATAGATGGATGAAACAGTAGATGTCAAAAGATATAAATGAAGAGATTCCATGTTAGTTTGGGGAAATGTTTTATGTAAAGTGATGTAAAAACTCTTTTGTTTCTAATGTGGAGGGGGGAGAGAGATTTTGATTTTATATATATCTACCTCTCCCAGGACCTGAACAACCTGACATAAGCTTCACTAAATTGCAATCTTATCTAATCTATTCTTGCAGTAGGTTCCTATCAGTACCTCTGCCCAATGTGGGTCATATCTTTTATAGTCATGCTCAGCGCTGGCTGCATTTAATCAACTTCATACTTTGTTTCCGTTACTGAGCACATGTTGCTTCTGGCAGCAGTTTAGTGATAGCCAATATTTTTAAAGAGGTTTCTGACTATGCAGTTATAAGATAAGGGACTTTTCCTCTGTGCTGACTGCGGAGGGAAACCACATCTTATATTTGAGTAAATACAGTATTCTCTTAGTAGAAGGTATAGTTTGATTAATTCAGTAATATTATGTGAGAGTGATAACTGTAAAGTTTTTAATGGTAATAACTATATTTCATTTTGCACTTTAATAAATGCTGACATAGACAGAAACTGTATTATAATTACATGTACAATTATGCAAAGACAACTTTAATTAGCCGTTGTTAAATTTAAACTTTATATACAATATTTACATGTAATATAGACTACAATGTTGAGTGATGGCACAGTAAGTAAAATATACCTGTGTGTGAGATTTACTTGATACTTAAATGCATCTTATTAGAATATATTGATCTATATACAAGTATCTATATAAATATATAGATAATTCCATGGTATAAATTAAGATATTGAATTTAAAATTAAAATCCCAAATTGATTTCTACTTCTAAAAAACATAATAAGCTGCTACTTACCAGTAAACACTTGGACGATAAGCAAATCAATTTTAAAATTATTCTTATATTGCATTAGAGCAGGATACTGCTTCCACTGAGGTCAATGAAAGTTTTCCCATGTCATTTATGGGCAGAGGCAAAATTTTATTAAAACTATGTTGGGTACATTTCACACACAGCTTTATTTTCCTGTGATCAAATAAAAATACCACAAAAGAAACAGAGAGAAAATGAAAAAATAGTGAATACTATCGTACCAATTTCCATGGTCCCCGATGCCATGAAACATCACCAGGACAAGAATGCACATTACATTGTGCTATATGTGGTGGCTTGTCTAGAAGTTCACAGTTTTGATCACTCAACATTTGGCCATTAGGAAGTTGACAAATCACTAGTCTTGTCTTTATTCCATCTCCACATGTTTGAGTACACTACAACATAAAAAAATGTAGTTGAACATTCTTACTGACATTGTTTTCATGTATCGCTAAGCCAAACAGTTATTTATCAGTAAGTTGTCACTGTTATTTAATACTTGTTTTATGTGAATGTCTGCTTGCCCCCAACACTTTGTTACCTCACTATAGTAGATAGTCTACCCACAAAAAATGAACATGGCCCCATAAAAAACTATTAGAAGATAAATGCATGACAGCTACTCCAGGCCAACTGCCATGTGCACACCTTTACCTCCCAGTAAATGAAAGTGACTCCCTTTCACTGAAGCAAAAGCTGCCGATGGTTAGTTTTCATTTATCATGGGGTAAGAAAATGCACACAGAGTTGTTACAGAATTGGTGACCTGCTATAAATCCACAGCATTGTTTATCTCATGGTAACATGTTCATGTCCATTATGTGTCGGTAAAACATTTACTAATGGAGAGTCAGGTCCAAAGATGCATAAAAAAAATCATTCAAATTGTATTGTATTTCCCCTATCAAAATTCAGAATTTGAATGAAAAAACATCAACATTGTAAAGAATTCAAAAAATGCTGACAATCTTTACATGGTTAGTGTGGTACCCAGGACTGAAGAAAAATGAAGGAAATTAAGTGAATGGAGTCAATGACAGAATTAACCCCAAATAGAGTTTCTATTTGTTTCAATTGTACATGTAGTGTTTAGAACAAAACATAAGGTCACATTCTGTATTGCTCATACATTTGATAGAGAACCACTTCCTTGCTTTCAGAATTGAAATAATTCACAGATACCCGGGCAATTAAAGAGGTAGAAGTAACCAGACTACTGGGCCTATATCTTCCAAAAGTCATCTTATTTCTTCCTCTAAAATACCATATCAGGTTGCCTTGACTCACTTTTATCTCTAGGATATCACTTTTAACATGGGGTTATTTTCTTCCATGCTATCAATTTACAGCTCCAACTCAGTATTTTTTTCTATCTACCCTGTCCATCACAGGCAGTGAATATAATACTTTGTGTTGTAGTATTGCTGTAGTGTTATAATAATCACGATGGTCAAAGGAATACGCAAGAAGCCAGACTTGTTTAGGTAGTTTCTTTTATTGGACCATCTGTATAATTTGCTGCTCAGTTTTACAGTACAGGCAACCCTTGCCATTTGTGGGGGGATACGTTCTTGTATCCATACACAAATGGCAAAATCCGTGAATAAGGCACTGTGTTCATAAACGCAGTGCTCCCGGAGGCTGGTGGGGTGGGACACGGCTCCGGTAGTAGCACAGCGGTGGCGATGGGAGCACGGCAGCAGCAAGCGCGGAGCTCCTGAGGAGCTCCTGTAAATGTTTAAAGTGAATTTAAAATGCAGGTTCAGCATTCATGAATATTTGAAACGGCAAATGCCAAACCCATGAATAGTGAGGGTTTCCTGTATATTTCCAAGAAAAATTTTCACTTATTTCACCTTCTTGTATCCACTTTCCTTATGGTGGCCATTAGACAATGATTTTTGTGGCAAAGCTTCTCTCACATCTTTTTGCAATGGAAAATAATTGTATGTCATGCCTGATTCAAGACTCTACTGATGTAAAGTGCTCATTTAAAGACATTTTTACAATAGTATCTAATTAGGTTGATGAATAATGTTTTCACTGAACTATTGTTTATATATGTGGCAAATTTAAATATTTGGCTTTTTTTTAAGATTAGTGAAATATTTACCCTTCCACTTAATAAAATACAGTTATGTCAGGGGTTGGCAATGTTTTTGGGCAGAATTCCCAAAACACCTGCAACCTTGACTTGTAAGATGTTGGTGTTGGGGAGGACGGTAGGAGAGCCATGAGGGGCCTGATTCTTGTTGTGGCAGTGCATCCCCAGCCCCTTCCCCACTGTCCACCCCAAGCCATGCATACCAAGCAAAATGTCTTCATGTGCCACACATTGGCACTCGTGCCAGGGGTTGCCTACCCCTGAGTTACATACTAAATCTAATAGTTGTTTTAAAGTAAGTAAAATAATCGTACTTCTCCCCAGTTCCCATAGTTCCATAGTGGGCAGGGTCCAGAATCACAGTGCCTCGATTCTGGTGGTTTTGTTGCCTCATCACAGTACCTAGCACTTCTTCCGTCCTCATCTTGACATACTACAACCCGATGGTGGAATCCACGTGCACAAGTACTAGAGCACTAGTAAAATAATATGCAAACATATATCGTCAGTTGTGTGGGAAATTCAAAATGTATAATATATTCCTTAAAGTTTGAAAATTGGAAATTTGCAGTGAAGTATAAATAAAAAATTCAACCTTGTAAATATCCACCAAAGAAAATTATGTTTTCAGTTATAAAATTTTACTTTAAAAATATTTGCTTTTAAATAAAAATATACATTAAATATACTAAATATGTATAGTACAACAAAGCGGGTTTCAGAAATATTCAGAAACATTCAGAGATTTCAGACTTGTTAAAAAAGGTAAGAGAACACAACACTTCATGCTGAATTATAAGCATAGTTAATAAATTTTAACAATTTGCTTACTGCTCCCCATGGACCTGTTCTCCACTGGTATCCACTGACAGAAGGATGACTCCATTGATTTATATTCTTTTGTGGATGATGGCCCTTGTGGATTGGAGGGTAATCAAGTTCTGGAAAATGTCTTGGATGGTAATTCGTTTTAGGAATCTGACGATAAACTGGCAGGCATGGTGGCATGTTACACTCTTGTTCATGAGCAGGCCGGCCTTCAGGATCACAGTAATTCTCGTTGATTTGTTGATGGTAATGGACGCAGACAACTTGTCTTGTTACTATTCCACTATCACACGTAACTGAACACTGACCAAAAATTAACCCAATATTTGTGATGCAACATCAGACATCAGTAACCAAAGACATTTATGTTTTCTTTTGAAGTAAGAAACAAGCTTATTTTTTTCCAAAGTAGGGACAGTATCTTCATCCATTTCTGTATAGCATTTAGCACAATGAGGCAGAAATCATAATTAGAGCCTTTGGTCACTAATATAATTAAAATATTAAATGAGAATGACAATACTTACAGGTGACCAATTTCCAATTTGCCAGTCTCCACATGGACTAAAACAGCTTGAAATATCAGCTGGTCTCGGTAAGTGTGCACAAAATGATTCATCAGCAACTCCGCCATGAGCATCTCTACAACTTACATAGCGAGCCTGACTACCCTTTCCACATGATGCAGAGCACTATGAAAGAGAACAATACATGTAGATTACATTTTATTTGATCAGAATACTCCAAATTAACTTGCAAAAAAAGGCATAAGTTTTACTATACGAGGTCAACACCAATCTAATTTGGTCTCAGAAGAAAATGTGTTTAGACACCCTAATGCAGAAAATATAGGTGTTTCAACTCAGGGCAGCAAACCATTTTGAATCGGCTTAAACATCTGAGATCCCTCAATAAGAAGACTTTAGGTGCTCCCAAGGAAAAGTGTGCATCTGAATTCCCACATCTCTCAGGAGCTGAAACACTTGGCACAGTACCCCCTTTCAATTGTAATCAGAGCACTTGGGGCTGAAATCTATTTTGCCTGGAGGATGACCAAAGCACAGTTTGAGTTTAACTCTGAATTATTTGGTTACTATGTAAGAGTGTTACCAAGGAGTATTACCAAAAGGACTATTACCTCATGTGGGCGCACAAATGCTCCCATTATAGGAATATGATTGCCCTCCAGAGACATGAAAATATTTCTCTATTCCTATAATGGGGGCACAGATATATCCATCTGCAGTAACAGAATCACTCCTATGGTAACTCAAAATCAGTTTCAAACTGCACTTTGGTAATCCACTAAGTCTCCCTTTAATGCTTCTTTTGAGGGCAGGCAGCCAGCATCAGCCCAGGAATCAGGAGGTCAGGGTTCTAGGCCCCTCCACAGTCTGACATGATTCAAGCCCACATCTCCAACTCCCAGCAGAGTGTCCTGACAATCAGGCTACAGACCTCTATCTCTCCTGTTGAAGCTGGGCCTCTGGACAGCCACAACTACAAAAGACAGGAAGCTAGCAAGACAGCATGTTTTTGTGACCTAGTTATTATAACATTCTGTTGAAGTAACGGAGACCTGAGTTCTATTCTGTTCTGTAACAAAGACTCTTTTATATATTTAATATTATACCATCATTGGTTAAAAAAGCAGAAATAACTCTTGGGCTCTAACCACTGGACTGCTGGGCAACAGGAAAGCATAACCACCACTGGTGATCTTTTTTAGCTGAATTCAATGTGAATTTGCAATGCTCCAGGACTGGCTACCAGACCAGATTCTTCCAGAGACTTGGATGCCCCAGCAACAAATTGAATCACAATATAGCACACACAAGGGTGTGGCAACCAGGTGATCTAACTGTATTATTTCTGAGTATACTTAGAAATTCAAGCATAACCCTTTAATTTTTAGCAGCCCAAAAGGAATATACTTAGGCACCTACTAAGTTCTGTGGCTTATGAACCAGGACAAAACTGGATCATTCTTTGGAATTTTGGTGCCTAACTGCTGCCTACATCCCATTTAAGCACCTGGAAGACCAAACCGAATCATGTACTAGGCCAGATTCTAAACTGGGGGAAAAGCCCTAATAGTGTGGTTCTTGTTGAGTCATTCCATCAGGATACAAGGAATGACATTTTACTGGGTGATCCTGGCCTCATACAGATTACAAAGGAGCGATGGGCTTTGGAATGGAGATGCTCAACCACGACTATCTCACAGGAGCACATGTTAATCATAATTATTAAAATATAATTTTTCTATAATATTAGATATTTTTATATATTTAGTGTATTCTAGTACTTTTTAATTATTTTACACTTATATTAATCTCTTGACATAATGATATAGGATATTTAGGGCCAGATTACTATGAACAGACATAACAACTATAGTAAAATCAAAAGATACCAATATTCGTTATGAGGTAACTGTTGTATCTGCATGATTCTGCAGCAATACAAGTTTAGCAAAAACACTCTCACTTTAACCCTGGTTCATTTAGGCTAGGGACAACCATTACACATAAACTGGTTTAGGTGATTAGAAACTGTTTAAACCTGTAACTGAACATAAGCCCAGTGCACATAAACCAGTTTGAAAATGGCTGAAACTGGTTTAAGATAAACCTGGTTGAATGTAGTATTAGACTTAAGTGATTTGGGTCAAATCAGTTTATGCAATGTCTGCTCCAGACCCATTCCTGGTTTAAGTTAAACCAGACTCCCCTGGCATCCCAGCATGCTCTCTGGGCTGGGCTCTTTGCTTCAGACAGCAGACCTGGCCCTGCCCCCCTGCTCCCTGGCCAGACCTCCAGCAGAGACTGCATGCACGTACAGCAGGGTTTACCTGGCTTCTCCCTGCTCCACTCCCCGTCACTGCTTGCTACTCAAGCAGGGATCCCACACTGCCTCCCTCCCATCTCCCACAGCATGGACCTGAGCCCCATGGACCCTAAGCAGATGCTACGCTAGCTAATGCTGAGAGGTGTCTGTGTGCGTGTCTCCAATTTCACTGGGACAGGCAGACAGAACAGTGTCCATTTAGGGCTTTCTGGAGTTAATCAAGAGGACAGCTGTTTAAGAAGAGCTTGAACTAAAAGTTAGAGGCTATTGTTTTGCTGATGGGGTGATAAACACATCACACAAGAATTCTGGTTTTCTCTGAGTTAAAAAAGTAACCCCAACTCCACATTTTTCCATGATTAAAATGAAACATCGCTACATATATATCTATATATTAGTGGTGTTTCATTTAAATCATGGGAAAATGTGGAGTTGGGGTTACTTTTTTTTAACTAAAACTTGGGGATTTTTTTAAATCAGAGAAAACCGGGATCCCTAGTTATCAGCCCCCTGCTGGCTTGCTTGCCTGTCAGTTTACTGCAGACAGTATAAAGAACCAGGGAGGGAGATTGAAAAGCTCAGCAGATGCATACACTGCATGCCCCAGCTTCCACTTGCCTCAGAGTGCTAGCCCAGGGCTGGGGGCTATCAACCCTTGAGCAGCCAGCAGGGAAAAGTCTGGGATGGTATAGGCAGACCTCCCTAATCAGAGGTCTTGCCCAGACCTGGCCATACCCTCCCTCAGCTCGGCACTATGAAAGGGAAGGGAGGGCTACTCTAGCACCCTCCAGCCTCTAGCCTGAGCCACTGCAGGCATGTGCCTGAATTTGCTCAGTCCAGAGAGAATGTCTGTAAGGTTACAAACCAGTTTAGCTTAGCCAGGTTAGACTAACCTGCAAAGGCTGATCAATTCAGGTTCAGGCTTTTTGAATGTCTGTCCCTAGCTTTAGGGTCAAAGTAACAGAACAGAAGCTCTCCCCCCTCCTTTTAAAAGTTGCTAAAAAGGACTTTTGTCCATGTGCTCAGTAACTTGTTCTTGTTCTTGTTTCACACAAGCAGAACTTTGATGTTTTCATATCTCAAAGCCACCTTCAAATTGAGTTAAATGTTTTTGAATAACAGTATGTCAACCCATGCTCAATTTCAGCACATTCTGCAATATTACACAGCTAAATCAGTGGAGCATAAATATTAAATCATAGCCTCTCCTAGTTATACACTTTGAGAGTAGCAAAAATATATATAACACATGCCCGCTACATTATTTCAAGTGTTAATATATCACTGAAATCAAAAATAGTTTTCATGAGAGTTCTCAAAACACTTTTTTTCAATGAAGGTACTTATATCCAAAATTACAACTTGAAATCATCATACTGGCAGTACAGTAGATTAAACAAACAGTATATATAAATAATACTTTTATAATTGAAAAAGTCTATTTTTTTACTCTGTGCTTCACATCAGATCAATTAATTTTTAACAAATTTACTTCAGAAACTTCATCTTTTGAGGAAGCCACCCCTAGAAAATTCCAGCATGAAGAGTCACATTAAAGAAAATTCTAATCAATGGACAAAAGGGAGAGAATGGAAACTGTTATGCCAGCTTAAGTACAGCAGCTTAAGTATGGGCCTTTATAGTGCCTACTATAATACTATTACATACTGGGGTCCATGATCCATATCTCCATTGAGTCACCTTGCCTATTTGAATGACAGGAAGTGATGTTGTCCATAATTTTGCAGTTTCTGGACAAGGGGACATTTCACAGTCCTGCGCAAAATAAGAATAATGTGAACCTTAAAATCAGTTTTCAAAACTGCAAAGAAAAAAACCAAACTCATGTTGAAAAATAAGCATCATATCTTGTTAAATCTAATTTTCAGCCATACCATGCTGGTCTGTGGTTTTATTCAAAGTTTTGCCTTGAGATAATGGGCAGAAGTAAACTTTGTTAAGGCTAGCAATAACCCAGTAACTTAACAATAACTATTCCATGTAAAACTCTATCTGTTACCTTGCTTGGTGGCAGTGGCATAGACATAGCAGGGGTGACTATCTATCTTGCAGCCATGATCAGCAAGAACAAAATTAGTACAGAGTGAACCTAGCCTATCATCTATATACTTCATTAAGCAGCTATGTACTAGACAAAGCTAAGTACACAATAGACATTGCTGTCTGAAACATTCCAGTCTTACACACAAAGGCTCACGAACTCCAAGAGTAGAATCTGCATGGCAATCACTTCACATACAACTTAATTTCTACATTTCAGCTACTTAACTACATGCTTGGTACATCTACACATGCAATTAATGTGACTAAATATACTCTGGCTCAAACTGAGCTGAAGTAAACTAATCCCAACATTACTGTCTACACATGCATTTAAGTGCAGGATTTACTGCACTGCCAGATACCACTTGTATCTGATGGGACTATCCAGCAACACAGTCTACTGAGCCCCAATTTTTGTGCACGTGTGGAGGGTGATGCTTTACCGTGCAGCAAAGTAGTTTGCTATGCAGTAAAGTGTCTCACGTAGATGTGCCCACTTTTACTTTTGGAAGTATTTTTTATGAAGTCTCTTTCTGAAGCACTCCTGGTCCCCAAGTCCAATTTTATCCTCCTGCTGCTTCCACTTAAATGTCTTACCTGAGGACCAATGGAACCTTTTTCTCTGTGCTTCCTGAGCTCAGATCTTGAGACTTGCTTGGCCTCTAGATATCTAACATATAATGGCTGGATTATTATTAATAAGGGGTATACACAGCTTTTATGTCCTCTTTTAACATTGCTTTATTAAAAAGAATCAAAAAGACTGACTGTGTTCAATAGTTATTATGGGAAAGTGCAGTTTTTAATTTAAAAGCATCAAATAGGTGAGGAACCTTGGATAAAAGGAAAATGCAGAGAACCAAGTTCATGCAATTATATACAACTAACTATATTATCTTCAGAACAATATTAACCATTTGTTCCCTCAAATAATCATTTTCCCTCTCTTAGCTACATATGATTAGAATTTCAAAATTGAATATAAAAGCAAGTGGGTGAAAACATGAAGTCTACCATAGGACTCAAGTGGTCACTGTGTCTGTCTGCGTGTGTGTGTGTGTGCGTGCGTGCGAGAGAGAGAGAGAGAGAGCGTGTGCACTCCAAACATCTCAGCAATTTGGAATTAATCAAAACATCCTTTTGGCTGATGGAACAGGTTGGGCAGTCCTAGTTACAGACAGACTATGCTGGGTATACCTCCAGTCACATGAATCCTTTTCTCTAGATTAGCCACTACTGAAGCTCAGGGGAAAAACAGTTAGTTTCAGCATCTTCTTCCCAGCCACCAAACAGCAGAGAGGCTATATTTATTTAATGGTTAATATATTTAATAATAAAAATAACTCAACTTTTTCTCAGACTCAGATGTTTTACTTACTTGACTATCTCTAGGACGGGTAGCAGCACTGCACTCCCTATCATCCTCTGAAATAACTCTGTAATTGCCAGTAACACACTTGACTGCACGCATCTGGTATCCATGTCCACATGTCACAGCACACTGAAAGCCAACAATTGTGCATGCTTAAGATACTGTTAGATCTAATACTCATTTACCAATTGTGATGAATAGCTCTATTTTTTAACTACTTATGTAACATGAACAAGAACTTAATTTAGAAATAATTACTTTTGCACATATTTGGGGAGTTTTGTTTGCTTTACTAACATTATTCTAAAGATAATTTAACAGGTGGAATAACTTTAGTAATGGGCAATAATTCTGAATACATATTCCCTAACAGTAAATTTACAAATCTAATAAACATATTAGTAATCACAGTAAATACATGTGCAAATGTCTAGTTGGGAGGAAGTATCAGGTGAGTACATCCTCAGGGGTCCATCCTGGATCCAGTATTGCTTAATATTTTAATTAATGAGTTGGATGATGGGATCAAGTGCACGCTTAGCAAATCTGTGGATGACATCAAATTGGGTGGAATTAAATACACTCTGGAGGGTAAGGCTAGGATCCAGAATGACCTGGGTAGACTAGAAAATGGTCCACAATCAACCAGATGAAATTGAACTATGCAAGTGCAAAGTCCTGCATTTGTGACAAAATAATTGCATGCACAGATACAGACTATAAATAATTGGCTAGACTACAGAGAGGGATATGGGGGTTACAACAGACCAGAGGTATCCAACCTTTTTATGGTGAAGATCATTTTTTGGCACCCCAGGATCTACCGCCCACCCACCATCCTCTGCCCAACCCCCTGACCCGCCCACCACATACCCAGCTCCACCCACCCCTTCAGCCCCCACCCTGCTTCCCCAGCCCCCAGACAAGCTGCCCAGGCTCTGACCCCACTCACCCAGCCCAGCCTGGGCAGCAGGGGGTGTGGCTCAGCCCAGCCACATTCATCCTGCCACTCCCAATCATGGAGCTTCTGACAGACTGAGATTGCTGTCAGAGGCTCCATGATCAACCAGTCAATTAAGATCAACTGGTTGGTGACCATTGCAGTAGACCTCTTTGGAGAGGAGGACTGAGGTAGTGAACCAAAGACTGTGGCACTGGTGTCATCAGGAAGGCTTCGGTTTCCATGACCACAGTCTGCTATTTGGTGAGAGAGACAGTGAGCTGCTGGGAAGGGATGGCCTCCACCTCTCTCCACTGGGGAGGAGACTCTTCTCAGCCAGGCTGGCTGACCTGCTCCACCGGGCTTTAAACTGAGCCTGCCGAGGGATGGGGGGGCTACCACCTCTGCTGGCCTGCTAAGCAACCCTTGCAAAGCCAGCAGGCCAAGGCATTTAAGGGAGCCCACCCCTGCCCCAGCCCTGGAATGAGCTGTAGGCAAGGCAGGGTCCCCAAAAGGGACACTTGCCTCCCTGTACACAAATGCCAGGAGCTTGGGGAATAAACAGGAGGAACTTGTCCTCCTGCTTAACACAAATAATGATGATGTCATAGGGATAACGGAGACCTGGTGGGACTCCACCCATGACTGGACCACAGGTATAGACGGCTATACCTTGCACAGGAGAGACAAGTAGACAAAAGGGGCGGGGGTGTAGCTCTCTATCAAGGAGAGCTACGCATCCCTGCAAGCCGACACTGGCGCCCAGGGTGGATGACTGGAGACCCTCTGGGTTAAAATCCATGGGGAACACGGTACAGGGGACACAATGGTGGGAGTCTATTACAGACCTCCTACCCCGGATCAAGAGCTTGACCAGGAATTCACCAGGGAATTGGCTGAGGCTGCATGCTCCCAGTGCATGGTTGTCATAGGAGACTTCAAATACCCTGACATCTCATGGGAAGAGCACTTGGCCAAATCCAAGCAGTTACAAAGCTTTCTCTCATGCGTGGATGAGCTCTCTCTGATGCAAGAAGTCTATGGGCTGTTGAGAGGTAAAGCACTGCTCGACCTGGTACTGGCAACCGGGAACGACCTAATCAGTGACCTAACGATTGAAGGGAGACTGGGTGACAGTGACCACGAGCTGCCACCATTTGCCATAAAGCTGGCAAGTCGGTCAGGATTACAGAAGACCTCCACTTCAGGAAAGCTGACTTTGACAAGGTCAGGCAGCTTGTCAGAGAGACCCTAAGGGACCACAACCCAAAGAGGAGGGGAGTACAGGAAGAGTGGTTGCTCCTCAAAGGAGCAATCCTGGATGCACAAGCAAAGTCTATTCTGTCTCAAAGGAAAGGCAGCAAAAAGGCACAGCAACCCCCTTGGCTCAGCAGGGAACTAGTAGACCTCCTGCATCTAAAAAGAAAGACCTACAAAGGATGGAGGACTGGATCCATCTCCAAGGAGGAATACTCTGCACTGGTCCAGACCTGCAGGGAGCGAACCAGGAAAGCCAAGGCTGTGACAGAACACCAACTAGCTACAGGTATCAAGGACAATAAAAAGTCCTTTTTTAGATATGTGGGAAGCTGCAGGAAAAGCAAGGGCAACATTGGACCCCTGCTAAACCAGATGGGACAACTGATAATTGATGCCCAGGAAAAAGCCAACTTACTAAATGGGTACTTTGCATCATTTTTTCACCAGTCCCAAGGGACGCCCCTACCCATTACAGGACGGGAACACCTGAGTGAGGGTGATTCTTTACCCTCCATCAATGCTGACCTTGTGAAGGAACACCTTGAGAGGACGGACACCTTCAAGTCAGCTGGCCCTGACAGTTTACACCCCAGGGTACTCAAGGAGCTGGCAAGCATCATAGCTCAGCCCCTGGCATAAATCTTCAAGAGCTCCTGGCGCTCTGGTAAAGTGCCTGAAGATTGGAAGAAGGCCAATGTGGTGCCTATCTTTAAGAAAGGGAGGAAAATGGATTCGGCAAACTACAGGCCCATCAGCCTGACTTCTATCCCAAGGAAAGTTTTAGAAAAGATTATCAAAGAGGCCATTCTTAACAGACTGACCAATGGCAACATCCTGAGGGATAGCCAGCACGGGTTTGTTGAGGGTAGGTCTTGCTTGACCAATCTTATTTCCTTTTACAACCAGGTGACCTATCACCTGGACAAGGGAGAAGAGATTGATGTCATATATCTTGACTTTAAAAATGCCTTCGATCTGGTATCCCATGATCACCTCTTGGCAAAACTGGTCAACTGTGGCCTCGGCTTCACCGCAATCTGCTGGCTGGGGAATTGGCTCCGTGGTCAGACCCAGAAGGTGGTGGTTGACAGAAGTCAATCATCGTGGTGCCCTGTAACCAGTGAGGTCCCCCAAGGCTCTGTCCTTGGGCCAACACTATTCAACATCTTCATTAATGATGTGGACATTGGTGTCAGAAGCAAACTGGCCAAATTTGCTGATGACACCAAAATTTGGGGTAAAGCATCCACACCTGAGGACAGGAGGGTGATCCTGGCTGACCATAATAGACCCAGGAAATGGGTGGACAAGAACCTGATGGTGTTTAACACTGAAAAATGCAAGGTTCTCCACCTCAGGAAGAAAAACCCGCAGCATGCTTATAGGCTTGGCAGTGCTACGCTGGCTAGCAATACGGACGAAAAGGACTTGGAGGTCATGACTGACCACAAGATGAACATGAGCCTTCAATGCTAGTAAAGCCAGCAAAACACTGGCTTGCATCCATAGGTGCTTCTCAAGCAAATCCCAGGACGTCATTCTCCCATTGTACTCAGCCTTGGTGAGACTCCAACTGGAGTACTGCGTCCAGTTTTAGGCTCCACAGTTCAAAAAAGATGTGGAGAAGCTCAAGAAAGCCCAGAGGAGAGCCATGCGCACGATCAGAGGTCAGGAAAACAGACCGTATGATGACAGGCTGAGAGCTATGGGACTCTTCAGCTCTTCGCACCCTGAGCCTGCACTTTTCCAGGCATAGCCACTCCTCTCACACAATAATAATCAGGGATCCTGGTTTTCTCTGATTAAAAAAAAAAAACCTCCAATTTTTGCATTAAAAAAAATAACCCAAAATTCACATCTTTCCATGATTAAAATGAAACACTACTATATATACATTTATATCAATATATTAGTGGTGTTTCATTTCAATCACAGAAAAATATGGATTTTGTGTTACTTTTTTTAATTAAAAAATTAAATTTTTCAGTTCGTTTCAGCTATGCCAGCCCTAGTTAGAGTGACCATGTTCAATGAAATGCCAAGAGTTTCTTTCTGGACTCTTATGTTGGATTGGGGGAGGGGTAAAGGATGTTATAGCTACACAATATTTATTTAAGCTGTATTGTACACTTACTGAATGAAGTTAAAATGCAAGTAGACACATGGTCAGGCAGCCATTAAGTGCTCTCATGGCATTGCAAAGCTGTTCACTTTCAGGTGAGCATTACCTCCTAAAACATACTACCCTTTAATACATTACAAAATTCCCATGATTTGCAACAATCTATTAAATACTTTACTGTTACATTATTATCCAAAATTCTGGAATAGAAGACAAAAAGCAAGAAATGCAAATGTACTTACTGATCCCCATGGTCCCACTTGCCAAGATGCACATTCAGGGAGCTCACATGGTCTAACTGATTCTGGTCTAGAGTTTGGATTACAGAAACTGTCCTGTAGTTTTTCATCATTTATTTGGCACCACACCTGCCGATGCCTCATTCCCTTCCCACATGTTACAGGACACTGCAGAGTTATAAAATTACATTTGTCAGACGATAAAAAGCATGACTAATTAATGGTTTCACCTTTTTAATAAGAATCAAGCAACCTTTCTATCTGGAAAGCTTTGCAAAATTATATGACCAGAATACATTACAGTTAGGGCGCACAAAAAAAAAGTAGACAAACCAAAAACTATAAACATTTTAAAAGCACTTCTTACTTTTAAAATCTTTTTAAAAGTATAGCAATATCAAGAATTCTTAAATTTTGCATGATTGGAATTACCTCACTCCAGTCATTAGTAGCCCAATTTGGGCATAAGAACTCATTGCAGCTCTGTGTTACAATTCTTGGAAGCTCATGGCATTCTCTATCAGCAAGATGACGACCAAAGTTGTTCATACAAAAAGCATCTCTGGTTCTGACACCTCTCTCACAGCTCTTGGAACACTGGGATATAGAGAAAATATAATAAATGTTATGTTATGAAGACCAGTTCATTATACATTAAAGACCTTAAAGATGAAGAAGATTAAAAAACCTGAACTTCAGTGCAACATCACAGACTCAAGTACATTAGATATAAATTCAGCACCCATTTTTTTTTTTAATATCAATCATACATTAATATTAAGGCTGCCATTTTATAACCTCATCTCGCATAAAATACATACACATATGTTAAGCTATTTAGGTTGCAAAGTCAAGCACCTAAAACTTAAGAAATAATTGATTTGTGGCTGCCTGTGAAAACTTTGCACCCTTCTTGTGCACTGAATGAGGCAGAGAATCCCATAGACAAAACAATACATGATCTTACGAATTAAACACTACTCTAATATATACATCAAAAGAGGTAGAATTATGGTTTCACAGGTACTCTAATTCTGGCATTTCCCCACTTTCAAGTACATGGCTTCGCACCTAAGACTGTAAACAGACATCTTATTTGAGGTGGCCCTCTATGTCCTGGTTTTTAACCCAGATCAAAACACAAACTGCATGGCCATTTACACACATAGCCCTTCCAGGCTGCATTTTTGCCCCTTTGCCAGTAGGCAGCAAGCAAGAGCACGCAGCCTGACAGGCTTGAACCTAGAATCATACCTCTGTAGGATTCCTGGACAAGAGGCTCTCAGAGGAAAAATGCCATGTCTGTTTGTACCCTACATAATTTTATCGTAGCATAGTTTCTTGGTAGGTAATTTCTCACATATTTGTAAAATTAAAAAATAAATATATGCAACTGTAGTAACACCATTGCTATTACTACAAACAATAAATATGCCACATTTTTTGCCTCCCGGCTGGTAAGCAAACATCAAGGTTACCAGGACCGAATGGCCAATCAGCAATGGGAGGCATAAACTGCGCCATATTTAAAAACACCGTTTTTGCCTCCCTGCCATCAGGAACAACAGGCAAGCTTGGGGTGGGGGTGGGAGTGGGGGTGAAGGGAGAGGTGCGAAGCATGTGGGAAAAATGGCAAAAACAAAGGAGCCACCGTGCACTACATTTTTGCCACAATTTCAGTAGGTCCCTAGTTTTTAGGCATCACCAGCAGTGTTTGACCCCTCAACACTGATACAGCCTTCAACTGCTACTACTTGAGCTACTGGACTAACTATATTAGTTGATAGTAGGGCAAGGGTGTTATCCCTAGAAAGGAGTAAATCACTGACTCAAGTGATAGATCTAAACAGTGCTGAGGGAGAGCTGGCCTGGACCAACTCCCTCTCTCCCTCCTCCTCTTTAGAAGGTAAGGAAAAATTATTTAGTGCGAGTCCTCAGGAGGCTGGGCTGCAGTCATCATGTGCTGGGTAGGAAAGGAGATCAAACTGACTTCTCCCACCTGTCTCAGGGGTTGAGGGAGCTCTTGCCTCAAACGGTGCCCTAAAGAACAGGATGGAAAGGTGAAGTTACACCATACACTTAGACCATACTAAGGACACTTACAAAAAATGAGCATTCACAAGTTAAAGCTCGTTCACTTGTGCTAAGAAGCCTCTGAACAGCTCTAATTTAAGCCACCTCAGGCAAGGCTTAACTGTGGGCCATATTGCCTAGCTCATTTTAGGGTAATTTCAGTCTGTTCCATGGAGATAAAATGAGCAATCTGCAGTCCTTCAGCATCCCAGGATGCACTACTTCCAGTTCCCCTCCCTCCCCCAGAGCAGGAAGACAACCCAGATTTTATGGCTCCTAGCCACACCCTTGCTCATCAGCGCTCTAGTGGCAAGTCAGAGCTGTCCAGGCAAGAAAAGGTATTAACCTTTAACGTGCAACTGATCACAGCACATTCTAACTTTAACACCATTTACCATTCCACAGATTTAGTATGGTCTAAGTATAACATGTAATTTCACTAAGACTGGTGCTGTGTGAAGTTGATTGGCATAAGGGCTGGAAGCTCCCAGTGAAGTATATACCATTGCTACTTTGTAACAGCTTGACTGTTCAATGATTTTGGCATGCTGCCAAAAATTTTCCAGAGAAATGAAAGCAAGAAAAGGAAAACAGTAGATTTAAAATGGTTTATATCTGCTAAATCTGACCATAATATAACAGCACAAAGAAAAGATGCATCTTTATACTAAAGGTTTTTCTTTAACCAAATTTCAAAGGATCAGCTGCACGCAATTGAATTGTTAGAGCTTCTAAAAACACAGTAAATAAAGCTTTATGCCAAAAAGTGTTGGAAAACATAAATGTGAAGTTCATTACCAACCACTTTGATTCTCCAAACACATTTTTCTTTCAGATATATAAACAGAAATGGTCATAAAATAAATAAAAATCTAATCTAAATGTTAACCAGAACTACATTCATGAGCATTTAAATTTATACCTCAGACCATCCTGTGTAGTGCCAACTTGTTAACAGACAGTCACCATGACAGGGTTCTCTGACTGGTGGTTTCTGCTGGTCAGCACAATATTTATCATCGACAGGAACACTAAGACCTTTAGAAACAGAGTATTTCATGCAGTGGACATCTAAAGTGCGATATCCTGGACCACAGTGTGATGTACAATCACTCTTGCCAATATCATGCCACCTGCAAAGAGAAACGGTTACATAAACTAAATGTGTTTTAAAAATAAGATATACATGCATAATGGGGGATGCAGTGTAAATATGTATTTAAACAACAGATAAATTGCAAAGAAAACAAAGATGGAAATTTTCAAACTTAAGTAGGCGGATTTAGACACACGAAGTGGAAGACTTCTAGAGTCCTTTTAAATTAACAGAATTTCTGCCTAAATCTCCTTAGGTAGCTTCTGATAAACTCAGTCAGTGATTCTAAACCTGCAGCCTTTGCACATTTCAAACATGGCACACAAGGAATGCAGGACCAGGTTCCAAGACTTTGGAGAGTACAATTCTGGATGGCCCCTAAAGGAAGGACCTTGACACACAATACATAAAGTAGATTAATTCTTGGTTTCAGAGACTTAAATCTAGAGTATACTTATGTGAAATCAACTGATTTAAGAAAAAGCAGCAGCAGCTACCCAGTCTTTGCATGATTTTTGTTTAGATTTTCACTTTTAAAATCTAATAAAAGCTAAATGGAATTTTTATTAAGAATGTATTTTTACCTTAGTTCACATTCTGTATTACACTGTTCAGTGACTGGTGGTGGAGCAGGTTTGTGTTCACATCTTTGGTCAGACACTACCAGTCGTTCACTTTTACGTATACATATTACTTTTCTCTTGCGAAGTCCTTAAACAGAATATTTAGAAAAGATTAAAAGTCTATAAAGGTGTTTATTTTGAAGATTTATAGCTGTTTGTATTGTTTATGTGAAATGTACAATATATTTTCTGTTATAAAATGCTCACTTGTGTTTCTCAAAATAATTACACAGAATAGGAAAATCACCATACATTATTGAAGAGTTTTATAGGTAAAAAGTTTCCTGAAACAACAGAGCTGACCTCACATCTCTCTGTTTGCTTAGAAGAAAGACACCACTTGTATGGTCTGAGGCCACCGGAACCCTGAAATTTCTCTCCTTAGGAAGGCTTTACATGCATAGTAGATGGCTCTTAATTACGATATGTTTATGTGCATGCCTCCTACCTGAGCAGACCACAGTCCCCAGGGTGTAAGGCTGTTCACACAATACAGCAGAGATGTCTATCACCATAATTCTTGAAAGGAAAATACACTGAAAATACCTCTTGTGACAGGGTGCAGAGACCCTTTAAAAATCCAGAACGGGATGCTAGCTCTGCTTGGCAATGAGGAACAGCTGTGGACAATCAGGTCTGTGCACGGATACCCAGCTGGGAGTGTTTGAAAAAGGCCTATCTTTGTGAGCAAAAGGACCTGAAGGAGGTTGCTGCTACTGAAGCTGAAGAAACTTTGAGGACCAAACTGAAAGGACAAAGTTATTTTCTTTATTTTTGGTTTCCTTTACTGAATGTAGCAGGCAGAGTGGTGTGAATGATAAAGGACGACTCCAAATAAAAGATTTGTTGTTTTGAACCCTGAAAGAGGCATGTCTGTTACTTGCACCAATCCAACTGCCAGAAGGCATGACCAACTCATACTATTTTGATACTGTATTGCAGTAGCTATAATTGCTTTAGTTGCTTATATTGCTATTTTTATAATGAATTATTTAACCATTAAGATTAACTTTATCTTGTTATGATTTACCTTAGATAATATTTTAATCAGTTATTACTGTTTTGGAATTAACCATCTATTTTAAATTTCCTATTGCTTAGCAAATATATATATTTGACCTGTTGGTCTCATGATTTTAGAACTTAAATTTGGTATAAGAAAAATGCTTATGTAAGGTCTGAGTTATGTCTGGTATGTTCCAAAAAAATGCGGCGCTGTGCCTTATCCCCCTGATAAGATTCCTGCTTATTTTTAATTCACACTATGCGCCCCGTGGAGACAATAATACTCTTGCACACACTTTCTAGAGCCTTCCACTATACCAGTGATTCAAGAACTAGCAAACCTGTGCAATGTTTGCTTGGAGAGTAAGGTGATGTTATCCAGGTTTGCAGATAACAAAAATGAAATCTTACGTATTGGGTAACAAACATGCATAATGCCATGAGGCTCAGCAACCTGAGACAGGTTCTCAAAATGTCCATAGTTTAAACTAAGGATGACTATACATATTTAAAATTCTCTGAAACCTTTCCAGTGGTGATATCCCTTTCCTATGGTAGTACCCAGTGGGTGTGTCTACCTGTGAAATTAATGCAGTGCAATAAATTCCAGCACACCACAGTTTATTGCTCCCAGGAGTCACATTTACACATGTAACCAGGACTGCATCATGTTGAGCTGAGTCAGAGCAGCCCTGGCTGGCAGGGGACCTGGGTGGTCAGCCTGCTCCAAGCTGGCTTAATGTGCTGCAGAGGGGCTGATTGGGGCATGAGGGTGCTCCAGTGCGGGGCTAGCCAGCAGCAACTAACAGTAAAGATGTGAACTGAGTTCCAAGTGGCAGCTTCATAAATTTCATGAATAAATAGTTTTTGGATGCAAGAGGCTTAGGTAGCTAACTCTCTACCAAAATATTGCCTTCATCTGATTCTTCAAAGATTTACCCATGTGAAGTAAATGGAACTATTCTCATACCCAAATGAAAGCATGTGAACAAGCATGAGGCTTATGTCCATCCAGTACTGGCTTTCCAAACCATTCAGACAGACTCTTTTGTTGATATCCTGATTTAGTTTGTATCATATCAAGAGCAAGAGTCATATCAATCAAATTCTTACAGACATGGCTAATCTTTAATGAGAACAAGGCATCATGTACATCTGATTTTAAAAAGTTACTGAAAAAATTATAAGTTAAAGTAAAACAAATTATTCTTGGGAATGCTCAGTATAACTATTATCGCGCAAAGATAACAACTTTCATAAATAAAGAAATCCAGTTGTTACTGATAGAATCATTTGTTAAAATATAAAAATTAGTAACAATACTTTTTGTGTTCCTATGACATTTGAAAACACATTCTTAACCCTTCCATGAACCTACCTCTTGTTGTAACACTTCTAAATGATATGTGCCTTGACTATTTTGATGTCACACATTTTAATCCCAATCGCTACCTAAAATTCCACATAAATTTGGTGTTTCATCATGTTTATTATTGAAAATTATTTCCATCAGAAATACAAAAACCAGGAACAGAGTTTTATTTACACTACGGAAATAAATCTCTTACAAATTAAAGGGTTTAATTGGTTAATTAAAGGGTTTCATTTATTAATTTATTGGTGCCCCTTTATTTTAGGTCTTTGTCCCTCACTTGTGCCTGAGTAGGTTGAAATGTATGATGTGACAGGGTGTACTAAGATCATCAGTTATTTTGATAATACCAAGAAAAAGCATTATTAAAAGCATTTTGATGTGAAAAACAATACCTTGGCACATTTTGCTGCAGTCTTGCCAGGGGCCGTATGGATCCCATGTAAATAGATCACTTCTCTCTTCTACAGGGATACTGAATGAATAATGCACATCAGGATTGTATAAATTTCCTACACATAAAACCTTAATTGAGATAAAAATGATAGCTGTTTTTCAATGAATTTGTGTGTGACCAAAGTATATGAAAGTTATAAGCACTTATTAAATTTACAAACTTTTTAAAGCATTAAACATTCACCTGTAAAATTAACTCTTCTTCTAGGCGGTCAGTGCTGTTAATTCGTTCTACAGTACTGTTTGAACCACTGTAATCAAATATGGCTCCCTGTATAATGATTTCCTTTTTAGACAGGCTTACAACAAAATTTCCATTTAGGATAAAATTCCCATGAATATCAGATAATGCTGGAAGTAACATGAAATACCATAAGTAAAACATTTATTTCAATTAAGAGGTACTTAGCTTAATTGTGATCAATTGTATCTTTTAATTCGTAAAAAACAGTTTTGAAAACATCAATTAGATCTCACACCATTAGTAGCATACTTACTATAGTGACCATATATTCAATCTACATCAATAAAATTTCCAGTGTTGGAAGATTTGCTATTTGATTGCAATGGGGCAGCAATATGAGACATTTAAAACCTGTTTAGAACTGGCAGTGTTGATGGCAAGGAACTGAATTTTACTAAACTGTGCTACAGTCTTGTTCTCTGCAGGGCTACTTTTCAATTCAGTGATAGAGCCAAAACAAGTTAAGTCCTAACTTCAACATCAAGATAGAGTACTGCCATTCTAGGCTTACCTGTCTTGTACATCTTAATCTAAAGACTGACAGAAGGTGGGGAAGAATAGCTCCTTACAGACTAGCTGTTTCAGACAAGCACGAGCTTTTGGATGCAACAACCTACTTCATCAGATGCTAGAAATAGACTGGAATGCTGACATGCTAGGAACAGTTTCCTTCTAAGGAGATCTGAGCCCCTCTTCCTACCATGTTTGCTGGGATTTGGGGGTGCTCCCAACACTTAACCCAATCCATCATATGTGAACTGTAATCTCGGGACTATGTTCTCTCACTGGGTAGTCTGAGCCTCTTTTTATCTGCCTCCCTCCTGCCCCCAAAATGGTGACAGACATTATATAGTATGGCTATGTACTACCTAAGCCAGTTACAAGGTAAACTAAGGCGTTAGATAGTTCACAATAACTGTAGGTTCTTACCCCCTGGTAAATGCAAGGTAGCTTATCCTTAAATGAAAGTGGGATAAACTATGTTGCCTGTAATGTGTGGAAAAGGTATGCACACAGGGAATTATCATGAAGCAGCTAGCATGCTATTCATACCATATATTAAATCACAATAATTTACCCATGTGCTCATATCCTAAATCTCTCTCCATGGTTCTTTATATGATCCAGGGTCTGGGAAAGTCATGTCCCTGTGCATAGGAAGCTAAGAACAACTATTCTCAAAGCATACACCATGCACATAATCCTGAGGCCAGGGTGAGGAGTGGAGAACAGGCATAATTTGTGTACATCACAGGCTTGAAAGAAATGACAGAGCTGTGCAGAAAATAAACTAACCACCAAGATGAATGAAGACATTAACACCTCCTTATGTTATTTCCATACCTGTGGAAATAACAACATTTCCCAAATAAGAAAGACAAACTGATCAAAATGAAAGCATATTGTTTTGATCAATAGTCCAACTCTGAGCTTTCTGTACTGCAGGTATATGTTAGAGCCCTTTCCTTCCATCTTCCCTAAAAACTCCCACTTTCCAGATTACCCTGTGCTGAAGATATTAGGTATAGAACAGTGTTACTAATAATTACATTAATCAAATACTAAGTTGTAATAGAGCTCTAGTTCTGCTGTAATTAAGGTTGACAACACTGTTCAAAGGTTAACTTTTTTAAGTATTCCGAAGTACTTATGCTTAACTTGGATTGCATTTAAATTTGCTGCCATTCATGCAGTTGTGGAGTAGGGTAACTGTTCTAAACCCAGGGTCATCTGTGGAAGGGATTCCCAAGATACAGTCCCCTGTGGGGGGAAAAACCCCAGCACATTATACCAATTTATATTTTATGCATATCTGGGGCTCAGATCATGGCTCCAATCAGCCTCCAAAAATTCTGGTTACTTGATGCTTATGCCATCTGCTCCATAGTACCAATTGCCTCTTTGGTTAATACAATTTTCAATTTTGGTTCCCCAAGGAATTTATGTCTTGTGAAAGTACATACAATAAGTTTTCTATCCAGCCTGGTCAGTGGCCTGGATTTCTGCTGTGGCTCTACAGTTTCCACTGAACATGCCCCACACTCAGACAATGTAAGCTCAAACTCATCTCTTACAGAAATCTGAGAGAGATCCATAGACATACATGTATTTGCCTCTATCAAGTTTTTATTTTTTTTACCTCTACTTTTGAGCAGCAGCCAATTCAAAAGAGAGACAAAGTATTTTTAAAAAAGAAATAGATTACATTTGAATGCTTGCTATGCAGTGCTGAAGGAAGGAGGGAGAAGATGAGTGATTTGGTGCAAGAGAAATAAAGAGATAAAGGACTAGGTGATAGGGGTAGGAAGGGGATGGACCATTATGATGGTGGTAGGGAAGTAGAGAGAACTGGGGCAGTGTGCCTGTCACATTCTCTCCTTTCATGCATGAGGTGGGAGTGTACACCTCTGAGGGGGTGGAGGTTCAGTGCCTCTCTCTTTCCTTTATGTGAGCCAGGATGTTGGGGTCTTTCTGGGACCCCTCCCCTTCCTTGTATGTGCTGGGGGATGCTGTATTCTGGGAGCCCCTTTACTTGCATGTGGTGTAATCTGTGGGCTCTGTCCTTCTATAAGAGAGGAGAGATGGAGGGAGCAGGGTCTTAGCTCCACTCCCTGATGCCCCTGTGTATCCCAGGAGAAGATAATACAAATTTAAACCTCTGAAAACCAGGAAATGAAGAGTTCAGGTAATGCAAAGATGAAGTTCCAAAAGAAGGAAATTCACAATTAGGATACCTGCAGCCCTCTCTTCATGATGGGTAGCTGGCTAGAGTGCAAGGGTGATGGAAAGGCCTAGGCCATGGCAGGGAGGCCTAACCAAAGCAGGGTTGGGAGTCTTTCTAGAGACGAGGATACAAAGGACCTAGGTCATTGTTCAGCTTAATCAATGACGTTTGCAATACTCCAGCAGGTGGCTTATGTGATTTATACACACACATGCACACATGGCAGCACAAAGAATGTACATTTTTAAGAACAATGTATTTTTTTTCTTTATTTTATATGCTAATAGGTTTTAAAGTTCTAATGGCTTAACAGGATGGGAAAGGATGATTAGCTGGACTTTTTGGTGGGGAAGGGAAGATATATTTTACATGGGGTGTTGAGGGAAAGGACGTAGAAAAAAGAAGCAAAACACTAGACTCCTTCCATGTTCTTCAAATTAATGTAACTGCCACAGAATATAACTGAACATTTTAGAACACAGAATATTTCTGTGAATTTTCTGCCTTCTCTGTCAGGCACTCTTCCTTACAAATGTTTCAATTCCATTATAAAAAAGCATATAGAAAAGAGTGAAGACCAATTAGGAGTCACACAGTAAGTTATAGTGGTGTTTCAGCACAAATGAACAAACAAACTCATTTACTCTTTCAAGCAAGCTTTACTTTCTAGGAAAACATAACTTGGAAATTCATTTTAAAAAAGCTTCATTAACCAAAATTGAGGTTCCCTGATGGTCTGTGGTTCCCTTCAGAAAACTAATATTCTGGAAGGGTCCAGGTACCAGCAGACAGCCTTAACTGAATTAATGAAGTCAGTGCATATATATAATATGTGCAAAGATGACCATCTATTCTACCTGGTTCTCTGTATCTACTTAAAATTAATAAAACATTTATTAGAAAATGTCACAACAACAGAAGCATTACTCTGCCCAAATCTTGCTCTGAGTACTAAGGACTAGATCCTATTCCACTTATTAGTCGTCTAAGTAGACTAAGTGTCATTTAACTTCATCCCATTCAAGTAAGTCCCTGTAAAAACATTTATGCATCTACTTTTGTAACAATCACCTGAGCCTAAGACCATGTAGAGATGTTATATTTATACCAAGAATTACGCTCCTGTGGTAATGCAAAAAGTGAGCATATAGACATTCGAGATGATTTTTGCAGAATAAAATATGACAGTTCCACAAAGAAATGTTAGCTCTTTCCAAAAGAAGCTTCTCAGCATTGCAGCAATTTCTAGCACCACTTGTACTACCTGTCCAGTTACACAACGCACCATAGGATGTATCTTAGTCCTTCACTTTTCTCAGGAGGCTGAACTCCTGGCTCCCTCCCCTCCACTCCCCATGGCACCAGGGGGTCTGTCTGGCATCCTGGACTCTATTACCCCAGAGAGGCTGAGCCAGGCTCACAGACTGCTATGCAATGACCGGTTTTCTCTGTAAAGTCATTTGTGCCCAAGAAACAAGTCCAGAATCCACTTCCCAGACACTCCTGCCATGCCAAAAACATCTGTTCCTGTCACATCAGCATCTCTGGCATTATTTACAAACCAAGCTGGAGGAAGGATCTCCAAAGCAAGAGGCTCTTTCTACTGTACCGCTGTAACATTTGCTACCAAATCCAAATATTTGCATGACTTCTAAGTTTACTCTCAATTTGTCCACTCGTAAGGAATATGGAAATCACATACTCATACTGACAGAACTTTTATAACATGGTCTACACCTTTGCTGACTCTCTAACTCAGTGGTTCTCAACCTTTTTTGTACCAGGACCCATTTGTAAACATTGATGGCCAGTCCCAACCCAGTGCCCCTCACTTCCAACCCACTGCCCCCTGCCTCCAAGCCCCAGCCTCCCAGTGTGTGGGGCAGGGGTGGGTGTGTAGGGCAGGGGAGACCTAAGCAGTCCCTTTCAGGCTGGAACTCTGCCAGTCTGCAAGGGAAAAGCCACGGTATCCCACATTTTTCTCCTTTAAAGAAGAATACATTTTTTAAGTTTGTCCGTGACCCTTTCATATAGTCTTGCGACCCACAGGTTCAGAAATGCTGCTCTAACTGATACACATATTAAAGCTAAGAAATCCAACAAAGGTTCAACAGTTAAAATTATAGTAGTATAATTCTTGCAGAGGAAACCTAGCAACTCAAGTGAGGAGTTATATATATAATTGCATATTTTCTCTAAGGATTTTATCAAATTTCTGATCATTTTTGTTTGGAGCGGATCACTAAGAAAGCACACATAAATCATGTATCAGCTGTTATTTACTGGAAACCTTTACCAAGATAGTTGTCATCTTCTGGTTTTCCTGAATAACTGTGCTGATGTATATCAATGTTCGTTGCTCCCTTGGGAATCTTTACTACCACATTATAACCTGGAATAAATTGGGTATAAATTAGTTCTTATAAATACCAGAAATAGTCACATATCTGTACATGTGAACTTTCTAAAAAGGTGTTTAATCAGTTTGATTCCCTTTACCCTACTATCTGCTCAGACTGTCTATGCCTCTTAGTCACAAGCCCAAAAACACCTTCAAGATACAAGCCCTGCCCAGTCACTCCTCCTCTACAAAAGCTGCATACTGAAAAAGTGTGGTGTGGTTGACGTTAGGGTAGTACAGGGTGCACCTAGCACTGTATTTATGAGCATGCCTGAGACTGAGGCAGGCAGGGTCCTTAGGTACAATCCAAAAAATAACCACGTGACGTGGTGCATGTGGGACAGAAGCAAGCAGACCAGGCTTCTTTCTTGGCAGTGATCTCATAATCACTATGGAGGAGGTACTTTCAGAGCACTGGTCAAAGGTGCTACCTCCTTGATGCACTGCTATCATATTCTACATCTCCAGCTAACCCCAGGTGATCGGAAGTGTTTTGAAGTGACAAATAATTCTACTTCTGAAAGAAACCATCACATTTTCTCATGGGAACAGTTTTAAAATGCCGTTTTTCAAGGCTACTCTCCAAAAGCACCTTTGTGTCTAGAAACAGTTTTCTATAATGAACCCGTATAATAATTAATTACACACTTAATCAGAGCTATTAATATAATCCTTACTAACTTGTCAATTAACTGCCAGTTTATTGCCCCATTCTACAAGCATTTTATGAGCAGTTTTGACTGGATTCAACTTCAATTATCTAGCTCTTACCTTTGGGTTATAAACCAACCAACAGTCTCCTTTGCAGTTTCCCACCTCATTAACTGTACCATATTTTTAAGGATATAATACTAATTTAATCCAGTGAATCTAAACCAGGGTGATACAGTACCCTGGGATGCCTTGAGATCCTTTTAAGGGTGTCAAACAATGTTAGCACTGTTAAGTGTACAAACACCTAGAAATGATTTACAAGATAAACCAAGCGATTTGAAACAGGAACCTATAAGATAAAAAACATTCTGGCTTGTTGTGGTCTGAGTTCTCTGCAACAGAAAAACTGCTCTATCTTTCCATAGTCGAAAAATGGGTGAAAGCAAAAAGCTGGTATTTTCAGAGGGGTGCCCTGAATCTCACCAGGAATGTCTTGAGTCTGAGAAGGTTGAGAACTGCTGATTTATGCACTTAACACAGTTAATTTTATCACTGGTTGATTACATCTACCACCTGGTGGCAGCACTGCAATTGCAAACTATTGCAACTTGCACTCCCTCAGCAAATATGTGAATGTCACAATAAGTCTATTTTTCTAATATATATTAAAGGCAAAGCACTAAGCAACCTTCTATCACTCACACAAAAGAGAGTGGAAGCATAGTGAAAACAAGACAAAAAGACAGGTACTTGGAGAGAAAGGAAAATATGAAAAGAAATGTAAAAACAACAAAGCTACGAAGAGTGCTGTTGTGGGAAAAATGGAAAATGTGGTCATTGGCTTTTGCTAGTACGTTAGCATTTAATTGCTGTGAGCACCCAATGACTCCTTTACTTAACATTCTAATAATTCTGGTAACATGACAACTCATTGTTACATGGCCTGCAGATCATATGGACTGCCATTGCAAAGGCATGTACCAAACCCCATCATTCTGCCCAAGAAGCATGCCCTATGTCTGTAAGGAGCATCTACAACTGCAAACCCCTGAGACAATAAATCTCAGAGTTCTGTACTCACAATCTTGAGAGATGCACCCATATTCTCCAGATCCCTGGGAAGGTCTGTTTGCTATAAAGTAACACCTCACTAACTGCGGTGATGTGGCTAGTACTATCTTAGAACCTACCTCTCTGTTCTGGTAGAGATTATGGGACAGACGATCATCACATCCTGTGTGTGCTCCCACATTGCTGTTTGAGCACAGATGGTAAAATGTCTGACTACTTATTCACAACAAAGTTAGGCTTCTACATGACTTGTCATACTGACAGATGGTGCATGATGGTTCTGGGGCTTAAGTAATAAAGCAAAACTTAAATATTTTACAAATAATTAAAATGGAGAGAAACTATTTTTTTCTTCATGCAAGAGAAACCTTTTAATCTTTCACATGAATTTTTGTCCTGACCTATACCCTATGTAAGTCCACCAAAAATCAGAGAACAATTAAATGAGTACAACTAGTAGAATGGGCCACAACATAATGCCATGCCATTGTAACAGAAGCTCCGCATGGGAGTCTTAAAGGATAATGGCTTTAAGGACATGAAGCTTCTTTTATGCTTATGAGGAGGCCTGTGATAACAAGGAAAACAAATTACAGTGACTGCTGCTGCAAAGTGCAGTATAGGCTCTGTACCACAGCTATGCAGAACCTAAATCATGCCATGTCCCAACCCCTCTCATTGTATACACTAATCGGTTTTCCTAAATGAACTGGTGAGTTCTTAACTATGTTATTCCCTCAGAACATAGAGATATACAATATATTACTTAAAACTTAATAGAGAAAAAATAAGTAAACTTCTTTCACAATGGGAAGAAACTCTAGCCTCTTTTTAATAATTTACTTTTTTTTAAGACACAGTGCTAACTAAAAGTGACTAAATTAATAACTCTTTTTAAATAATTAAAATTAATAGAAAATAAAATATATCTGAAATGAGTCTCCATGTTTCAGCAACAAGACCAAGAATATGTAAGCTGACAAGAGAACTGCTGACACAGTCTTGATGGCAATGGCCTGAATGGCATTTTATCATAATACATATTTATTGATATCAGACACATTTTTGTGACAGAAGCTCAGGGTGGAGTCTTAAAGCACAATGGGCCTAAGGACATGAAGGCTCTTTTATATTGGCTTGTGAGGGGGCCTATGACCAAAGAAAATAAACTGCTGTAACCCACTGTATTATATGTCAATACAAATCTCTTACTGTATGATATGTCAATCATACAGTAAAAGATCATTCTTGGCAATGAAAGAAATCCACAGCTCCTTTACACAGTTTACAAAACCCTTGTATTTTTCCCTTTACAGTATTGAACATACATTAACAAAGTCATAATTTCTGATCTAATAATAGGCATTTACTGTGCCTTTCAACATCAATCAGCACAGAGACAAGAGGAGATTATGTAAATGTGTGTTGCGGACACGGGGGAAACAAAGGGATGGGAAGGTGGCACAGTGCCATCTTTATGCCTTTTGGTATTTTTTCCCTGGGCCCTGACGTAAGCGTAGGCTATCTGCCAGGGAAGAATTGCTAAAATCTTGGCATACACTTTCCCTTGTCGACCAATCCCTTCTCCTTAGGGATGGGGAAAGGTGCCAATGTATAGCCATTCTGGCATCTCTGTATTGGCTAGGCATCCTCCCTTATGTCAGGCACCATTTTCACCCTGTTTGCTTTTCCCTTAGACCAGCAGAGCAGCATAAAGGTCCCTTGAGAATTCACGTCAGCTACATCTCCTATGAATTTCTATCCAATCTTTAACTATATATAAAACTTCAGTTCTGTATGTTATGCTTGGCAGAAGTTGCTATTTACACACACAATGGTTTCTCCTGCACTCTTGTATAACGACTGCACATGGAAGTAAGAACTGCACATACTGAGATCAGGGAAGTCAGTCACATGTTCTCTGAATCTGTAGGAGGCTTGCCCATATTAATTACCATTGTACAGAAGAAGTTTATCTTATGGTAAACTTGGAAAAGAGAGGATGTCACATCTCCTGGGTCTATATCTGTCTTTAAAATAAAATAAAAAAAACTAGCCAATAACTTAACCCAGGATTTATTCTTCTGTGCTTCTGGGGCAGACAGGACAAGCTGGATCTTAACTTATAGCTGTATAATTCCAACAGAGATCCATCACAGAGTTCACGAGGCAGGAAACAGGCTCTCCTAGGAGTTGCTCTGCAACTCCTCACCACATCACTTTCTCATCTCTTTTGTTTTGACATTAAGCAGCAGTCTGACTTTTTTCCTAAGTCAAAATGGCACATATGAAAGAGCATGCATGACTCAAAGTCACCAGTATTTTCTGCTGGCAGAGGACCTAAAGAATATGTATACTGATATTGTACTCTTGCAAACCTGAAATATAATTACTTGAGTTACCTCAAACTAAACTGAAATATAAAATAAGAACAAAACATACCATAATGAGCCCTGTTGAAGGTGCCTGCAAGAGTCTTACATGAAGAGTTATCTCCACCGCAAATTCCACATTTATCTCTCTCTGCCTTAGAATTCAAAACGTGATCACAGCCAGCTTGCTACAAGAAACATAAATTGTGGTTTGTATGTGCTATAAAACATCATTCAGCTAAGTGAAACTACACTGAAAACTGCATCTTAAGCTTTTGACCCCCCAACGATTTTTTCACTGAACCTATCAAAAGATTATCTCCATCTTTCTTGGCAATTCATGAAGACTCTTTTATGTTTTTAGGTACTAGGATATAAAGACAAAGTACAGTAGGCTCTATTATTCTAAGGAAGTACAAGCCAAATGTAGGTCCCAAACAGGCATTCATTTCTAGTGGCAGAAATTTCTGAGAAATTTCCAGTACTAAAAAGGTTTCTGGAAGAGGAAGCAGTACAAACTTTCAGCTTCCAACAGCCTCCTCTCTGCTACTCCTTACACTTTCACATGACCACAGAGATCCCAGTCTGGGAAAAGGTGTTGGGAGCAGCAGCTACTCCACTCCTGGTAGGGGAGTTCCTGGTGGAGCAAGGGAAGGGAACAGAGCAGTGGCGAAAGGCTCCTCATGCTTCCTCTGACTAGGGACACCCAGTTCTGGGGAACAGGCATGGAGTCTTTCCCCATTGCTCTACTCTACCCATAAACTGGTCCAGGAGGGGAGAGGAGCAACAGGGCAAAGTCCTCAGCCTGGTCTCCATGGTTTGAGGAAACACAGGGAGCAATGTCCTGCTGCCCTGGGTGAAAACATTCCTGGTTGCACCTGCTTTTAAAAATTTCCACGTGTGTTGCCCAGCTGAGCAATAGACATGGCATTCAAAGCCCACAGTGCCAGGAATG